TGCTTGGGAATGCCGTTGAAATTGGAATGTGGAGGTTCTAGTCAACGTGCTAGTATAGGGAAGGTCAGAAGTAACAGTCAGAAACGCCTTGGATAAGACACTCGTCCTAGAGCATTGCGCGAGTATGCGACTAAGAATGACTACCTGTACAGGATAGAGCGCTGACAACCCGTGGAGAGGAAAAACATCCGCATTTTTCGTAACATATCCATAAAATTTAGTTCGAGTACGACGCCAGTTACGAGCAGTTGGCGAGAATATCACGGAGGAAGAGGCTGACAAAATTATCAACTCGGCCGGTCGTGATGAGGTATGCTTTTGTTATGATTTCCTTACGATTTCTGTAAAGAATTCCCTGACTGTTGTTTTCTCAAGAATGACAAATTGAGTGACCTTCAGTTGTAGTGATCCTTTCCACTTTAGTTTTCCAGTGATATGCTGATTCGAATTTTTTTTCTATTTTTCAAAAGGATTTGTCGAGCATTCTGCTAAAGGAAGGAATATTCGTGCATGATCCTTCACCCACATTTATGAATAAGCCCGTGGGTCAAAAGCAGAGATTGTGGAGTTAATGGGCAGAACTATCTGTTTTCCTTAATGCGTTCCATAAAAGGCACACCCCGGGCTCAGCAATGGTGAGCTCTGGCTAAAATACTAAGGGCAAGATGGCAGTGAGCAAAAGACAAAAGTGAAGAAAGAAAGCAGAAGAAATTCTCCCGAAGTGCCCCGGGCGGTGTAGTCGTTCCCGTATCCCTTTCGGTGCTGATAATCTTGGAGCGGTGAGAGGGGGAGGGAGAGGGTATCAAAAAGACCATTGTGCAAAACTAGGATTACCATGTTCCGAATAGAACTGCCGTTCTTTGGATTGGCTGGTCACTTCGGGGATCCTTTCCACTTCAGTGCCTACGTAGAAGCCATCATCTCCATCACATTCATTCCCCTTGTGCGCAATATGTATAAACCCTTTCCTCAGGGTATAACGTCAAACGTTCCTCTAGTACCCCTTTCCGTGGACCCGCTCCCTATGGAGAAGAACAATGCGAGAAAATTCTGTGGATGCAGGCCCTCTTGCTAAGACAAAATTCCCAGGTAGAGCGGAGGCGGTGGACACAGTGGGACACAATGGAGCCTTCAAGGAACTGCATTTTCTATGACAAACCCTTCTTTTCCGGAATTTATCGGACCTCTTGAGCAGAGGGCGCTAACGTGAGGATTGAATGCTTGTTCTAATTCTCATCAAGAGGCACTATTTAAACATATCGTTAAGAATTCTGCTTGAGTCGCGGTGAATCGTCATTGATTGTAAAAGGGTTATCAAATCGGAAACCAAGCTCTGGACGCGCAACGTAAGACAGTATGCGGGGTGCTTATTAGTAAAAAGCACAGAAAAAGGTGTAGGTCTGTGAGATCACAGCGTCGGGGCTAGGTCAGCACCTTAGTCTCAGTGACCTCACCGAAAGCGTCAACACCACATTCGTCTTCTCCCCGGGGGTTGTTGTCGGTAGCCAAGCGTTCCTACCGATTCGGTCCAACCTCAGGGTTCTTCCCACTTCACAGCCCGCTTAGATGATCTAATTAGTTATTTGTTTTGTGCTTGAAGCAGTTGAAACGACGAACTGGAAACATTAGACCAATATCGGTGGTCATTCCTATTGTGCGCGGTCTATTGAATCCTGGTATTTGGATATTAGTCAATGTTGAACTAGCCATTACTTTGGAATATGACCAAAAATTGGAGCTCAGTTGATCGGTTAGCTTTCCAGTGTTGCTGTTTTTCTTAGTAAGTGCCCGTGAGGAAGACTGAGAAGGGTTGTGTAGTTCCTCTCAATTAAAATTCGTTCTCGTGCTTATTGTTTACCGGGCGAGATACCTCAGATTCGCCTCCTTTTAGAGGGGACTCCGAGGCGCAATGCCCAGTTATACGCATCCCATACGTTACCCCCTACGTGTTCCATTTCATTTTTGCCTCCCACAGGACCAGACGGGAGAGCCTAAGTCCTTACATTTTCTCTCAGCCTATTATTCTACCTCCTTTTCTGATTACCAAGTCGATCATTTTATTTCAGTTATTCTTCCGTGAAGTGAATCCACTTTCGGTCTCTGCCAGAGCTGCATTAACCGACGTCAAGCGACGCCACAACGAAATCGTTGAACTCGAAAAGAGTATACAAGAAATGCAGGAGATATTTATCGACTTGCAAAATCTTACTGAAGTTCAGGCGAGGAACATACTTTATTGCTATTTATTTTCTTTGCTTATTTTACTGAGATTGGAAATGAAAGGTACATGGGGCGACAAATCAGTAAAGTATGTACAGTCCTCATCATTGCGGACTGTCGGGTCGCAATCAGCGGTTCCCACCTGCGGCCTTCCCACCAGTGGCTGATTCCTTCCTACATCGATCATTGCTCGATCACCATTGGTAGAGCAAGGCAGCCGGACGCGAGCGCGCTGCGCTCGCCGCCCCCGACAAATTGCAATGTTACAGACTATACACAGGTTAAATACGCCTAGCAGGAAGGATCGTTGCGCCCCAGGTGCTAGGTAGCCCCTTTTCCAACGGGTGTCTCTCGTTCGGCGCGATCATTTTGCCACCGGCGTATCAAAACGTGTTGCGCAAATGGTCTTACAGTCAGGGCAACTCGTCCGGAATTTGGAACTATTGCATTTCCCTAATACTAAGGTGTTAATAGGAACCTGACTGAGAAACATCAGTACCAAAGCCAACATTCACGGCCTTATGTAGGTCATCAGTTTCGGAAATCTTAGTTCAGCTCTGACAAGTTGTACTGTTCGATAGACTTGTACCTTCACCTGTGAAAGCACGTAAATGGCAGTGTGATCTCGTAAAACGACTGTATTCGTTG